GGGGCGGCCCGCGAACAAATTTAAAATAAAAATAAAAACAATATATATATATATATTAAAAAAATAAAAAATAAAATATCATGAGCCGACATGGCTCAATTCGATAAGGCTTGAGCTGAAAGCTCGGGTCAAGTCTAAATTTTTTAATTAAGCAGAAGCTCGGCTTAACTCGATGCATTGATATTCCTGCTGAGAACTGAAACATCAAACAAACGAACCCTTATAGTTTAATCTAGATCAAACACCGAAGTCAAGGAAATTCAATTGGACTAAATCACTCTTTCATGATTAAGGGGATATTTCATTAAAAATTTTCATGATAACATATTAATACCAGGTATAATTGCACTTGTTGGCAATCAACAATTCTCCCTGTAGTAAGCTCCCAATCTTTCAAAATCGCGAATGACAAAGACAAACGTCAAATAATATATACTTATTTAAATAGTAAATCATTTCTTCTTTATTGACCTATGAAACCCTCATAATCATTTTAGAATTAATCAACTCGTAATTATTTTTATACATTAAATTTGACATTCTCCTATGCATAAGAAATATGGTTAGAGATTTGAATACAATAAAGCCATGAGTACAGAAAATTTTTAACAGAACTTGCATCGACTCTAATGTGATAAAACATGATTGTATTTTTTTTTCCCCATATTCTAATGATGTCGTGTCATATATTGTCTGTAAGATTTATTTTCAATAATATATTTATTTAATAAAATAATTTTATATGCGAATTCATATACTTTTTTTATTTTTTTTATTTTCTAATAATACATTTTTAAAAAAATAATTTTTACAAAATTTATTCTTCACTTACTCAAATTCTTTCTACACACATTACACATATAGGCGCCGACTTTTGGTTAGTTGCTTGTCCAGTAGCATCACCTCCCTCCTTGACTTCCGCTAATGGCGAAATTTTTCTTCTATGTATGAGAACTTTGAAACACCCCCACCCCACCACATTCTTTACTCGTTTCTCTCTCTCTCTCTCAATAGATATTTGCATATTCTATATATTTGCGTATATATGCACAGCCGCACAGGCTCAACAATTGTTATAGTTCATCTCGTAGTTGTGAACATTTATTTGTTCAAACATGGATTCTAACCATATTTATCTTTTGATTCTAGTGACTTTGTCGAGTGCTTTAAGGAGTGAAGGATTTGGGACTTTCGCGTTTGATATACACCACAGGTATTCGGATCCTGTCCACGGTTTTTTGAACCTTGATGGGTTGCCGGAAAAGGGTTCACTCGATTACTACTCCGCCATGGCCCAACGTGATCAGCTCATCAAGGCCCACCGCCTGGCCGTCACCCCAGCCGATTCCACCCATCTCAGTTTCTTCGGTGGCAACGAGACTTACAAACTCAGTTCTCTCGGATCGTACGCTTTCCCTTTTATTTTTGCTTCTAGTTTCTGTATTACTCAATTCACATTTTGCTTCTAGCTTCTGTATTAATCAATTCATGTTTAATTTTTGGGTTTAGACATTGAAAATTGAATATTTCAGCGCTGGTATCGTTTAGGAGCTTTAGGCTATGTAGAACACACCACGGTTGAATTTGTTTTCTACGAAAAAAGCACTCTCTCTCAGCTTTAACATCAACCATCGTCTAAGAGCTTAAGCTATTACAGTGAAGATATATTTATTAATTTATAATTTATATTTAGTCTTGAACATGCTTTCTCACGTGCACACATATTTCATTCTTTTTCGCTTTTTGTCTTTTAGGTTCAACATTTTTGCTAACAAAACGGTACTAAAAGTGCATAAGTGCTTTCAGAAACTAAAATTGCAAAATAACCATATCATTTTTATTTTCTTTGTTAACATAATATTTGTTCCTGTAAATTGCAGCTTGCATTATGCAATAGTTACAGTGGGCACTCCTGCTTTAACATTTCTTGTGGCACTCGACACCGGCAGCGATCTGTTCTGGTTACCATGTGATTGTACCAGCTGTTCACGTAGCTTGAACTCAACCTCAGGAAAGGTATGTTAATTTACTAAAAATATGTCATATTCTTGTCTGCACATAGAGTTTGCTTTATAGTGTACACTGAGAACTTGTTCCAAGTATTTTATCACTATTACTTTGATTCATTCTTTGATATATATAACTTTTTGTCAAACAGAGAAGTGCCTTCTTACTTTCATTTAATTTTCTTTTCTGATACAGACTTTAGAACTGAATATATACAGCCCTAGTAAGTCATCGACTGGCATACCGGTTCCGTGCAACAGTACTAAGTGTGGACAGAAAAGACGATGCTCAGTGACACGTAAGGCTTGTGCTTATCAAGAGATATATCTTTCCAGCAACACCTCAACTACAGGGATATTGGTAGACGATGTTTTGCACCTGGCTACAGACGACAGTCAAGAAAAAGTCGTTGATGCCCCGATTACGTTAGGGTGAATAATATCTTTTTCTGAAGACTAATTCGCTTATAATGTGTTGTATATTCAATGTTTACATAACAAAATGAAAGAAGATTGTGTTAATTGATTAATATTCCTTGAATTCTTAACACCTTTTTGGTGTATTACATTGCTTTTTGGAAGTAGATGGTAGTGAACCCATAATTAATGAATTTTAGTATGTTTTTGAAACAATGAACATGTTATTAGTTCATGAGCAAATACACACTTGTATGCATTTCTTTGCTTATTTATTATCATTATTTTAAGAGGAAAATCGCAAAGGATTTCTGGTTATTCATGCATCCTATTATTGCTGTATGATGTAGTCTTATTACGTTTTGCCATTTCAGCTGTGGAATTATTCAAACTGGTGATTTTTTGGTTGCTGCGGCTCCTAATGGTCTATTTGGGCTTGGTATGGATAGTTTATCCATCCCTAGCATTCTAGCGAGCAAAGGGCTTGCAGCAAATTCTTTCTCCATGTGTTTCGGTCCCGATGGAATTGGAAGAATGGTTTTTGGTGACAAAGGGAGTTCTGCCCAAAAAACAACACCATTCAATCTTAAACAATCACAGTAAGCTTTTTTGGTCTTTCCTTGCATAATATGGATTAAATTCTGCTTTTCATTATCATTCCATTCCCCGTCTTAATCCTCTTCCTAAATTATTTTTGGTTTTCCTACCAGTCCTACTTATAATATCACTGTGACACAAATAATTGTGGGGGAGAACACTACGAATCTCGAGTTTACAGCAATCTTTGACTCGGGCACCTCATTTACGTACTTGAATGACCCGGCTTACTCAGTTATTGCTAAGGGGGTAAGTTTATAAGATTTATGATCTTTTCCTGTACATTGTATCGATCACCTGCATAAGTCTGAATCTATTTTTCTTTTCTTGCAGTTTGATTCTCAAGTATCCGAGCCACCTTATCAACCGGAAGCCCAGTTCCCTTTTGACTATTGCTATGAATTGAGGTGATTTTGGCTACAATCCGTATGTCGACCACACTCTTTTAATTATGAATCCGAAGGACTAAATATCACTCTTGTTGCAGTGCAAACCAAGAAAGCATCAATACCCCTGATTTGAACTTAACTATGAAAGGCGGAGACCAGATTTATGTTAAAGAACCAATAATTGTAATTCCTCGCCAGGTGAGGTTCTACCAGTTGATCAACGTATGGAAGTTTCATCAGGGTCCAGGGATGTGCTAACATCTTCCTATAACCTGCAGGGTGGATATGCATACTGTTTGGCTATTGTCAAAAGCAGAGATATTGACATCATTGGACGTGAGTATCATGATTATGAATTCACTCTTAGCATATTTCCATTTTTTAGCCAGCTTGAATTTCATTTTCTGTCATTGCCAGTTTGATAAGGGTTTTAAACTTGTTAGCCATCTTTATTTATAAAAAAGAGTTGGAAGGTAATGTACCAGAAGAAAGAAGAGAGTAGATAATTAAGTTTTGGATAGAATATTCGACTGGCTACGGATAATCTATTTGTTTATTTCTTCATCGGGTTCCTTCCCAGTATAATATAATTTCAACATGGCTTGTTCTTGTTGTCGTACTATCTTGTTTTTAATTGAAATAATGCAGATATAGCACACTCTTGGAAATTTAACTTGGGTATCTTCTGGTGGAAATTTTTTACTATTTGCCAGTTGTATATATAACTTACAATTGGATTGTTCATTTCTGCCCAGAGAATTTTATGACTGGCTACCGCATAGTTTTTGATCGTGAGGAATTGGTTTTGGGTTGGACAGATTCCGACTGTGAGTAATCTCTTTCCGTCTCGTTCAATTTTTATCACGTGACTGAAAGTGTCTTTACGAGTTTATCTCCATGGTCATGCACTTTGAGTTGAAATGCATATTGTTGATCTCAGGCTATGACTCCAATCCATCCAAGAATGGATCCAACACTCTACCAGTCAACAAGAATAACTCGACCGAAGCTCCTTCACCTTCTATGTTAAATCCACAAGACACGCTCAGGAATAAAACTCGTTCTCCAGATTCAGCTCCTCCACCATCGTCACCAACTGGTCCGACCCGTCCGCTTATTGGAAACAGTGCAACCCGCTTCACTTTCAATTCCTGCAAGCTTGTGATGGCTATTTTTAGCCATTATTTGATCATTCTTTTTTCTTGAGGTTTTATCACCCCTTGTATATTGATATGAGCAGTGGTTTGTTTACTATACATCACACGTGATTTAAGAAGTATTATGCCAATTTCCATTTTATGTATAATGATGGAGATTGTAATGACTGTAGTTCAACGATTTGTAAAAATTGAGCAATTATTTTAGGTATAGTAATGAGGAAAATGTTTGTTGTATATTTCTATTTACATAATCTTTAACATATTGATAAAGTGTCAAAAAAGAAAATGAGAAAGGTTATTTATTATTATTATTATTATTTGATTAATGAAATTTTGACTCAATCAAATTTTGTCACATCATCTGTTGGTAAAAACAAATTTATGAATTGCCACATACATGTAGCATAATCGAATAAATAAAAAGAGATTGTGATATGCTTTTATGTAAATTATCAGTCAAGCTTACAGAGTTGTTTATAAAATCTCATTTTGAATGCATATCCTCGTGTTCATCAAGCGTACATACGCCCTATTCATATTTTCACAAGATGATCGTTTGAAAATACAGTTAAACATCCCCAATCTTGAAAACTTGATGATTTCCTACAGATTTAGAACTACGCAAGAAACGATGCATGAAAAAAGAAAACAAATAAACAAAAATATAAAAGATGAACAAAGAGAGAAAAGTAACTAAGCAGACACCGCGAGAATGCAAGTCTAGTCTAAGGGACGAAAGATGGTAAAACCATGATCAATCAATATGCTCAATTCCCACTTTTAGTCTAATTGGTTCTTTCGACCAATCCGCTAATCAGGTCATTTAATCCTTCCCGCGTCGTTCTATCTGCAAGAGAAAGCACAAATAGTCAAAATTTTAGGATCAGTACAATTTATAATATGTGGCTATTTGAATGAATAGCATGTCCCCAGTTCCTAAGAACAAGAAAAATTTCCATAAGCTTTATGGGATAGAATAACAAGAACTATAGTTTATGTGCCACGACATGAGTATCATCCAGATGACATTTGAGCAAAAGAACGAAGAAACACTCATATTTTATACAATGTGAAAGCATTGATACTCATTGCACATGATAAAATTTTCATGTGTGTGATATATGTGGAACAAATCAAGCAGGACGCTGAGTTATACGAAAAAAATAAACGGAAAGATGAATTTGAATAATTCAGGCCAGTTCTTTCCAACATACCAAGTCGTGTTTTTTGGACCAGAGAACTCAACCAATTCAGAAACTACTTGGTTGTCTTTTCTTCACAACTCCTTCAAAAATCCCATCAATTCCAAAAACAGCTTTTACTTGCTGATGATCAATTGCCCCTGGTAGCTGGAATGAGATGGAGAATTCACCAGGCGGACACAAATTTTGTGATAGCATTATAAATAACATGTTCTGCTTCTGAACTGTTTGTTCGCCGGTTGATGAAATACCCTTAATCATCACTTTCCCATCAGGTTCAAAATCACAAGTGAAAGTGTCTACGGTAACAGAGTGAATAATAGCATGAATGAACGTCAGTGTATAAGAGATTTACTTTTCACAAGCTACTTAAAAAGAAATAGTTAGAAGATATAACTTCAAAAACATTTCCATTCTTCACAATGTAAAAGGAAGATATTGGTAAATATTAGTAGGTTCATCAATTCAGAAACGTGTGATTTCAATACTATGCAATACAAACATCATAAATCATCTCTCAATCGTATAAAGAAGCAGCGCCTTTGATCATTGATAGTATACCAGATGCATGGCAATAAGCTTTAGACTCAAAAGGATCTCAGATGCAAACTCAAATTTCCGGCAAATGCCAGGCATAAGTTATCTTAACACACCACACTTCAATCAAACTGATTTAAGCGACAGATTTAGGCCTCTTGTATGACAGATAAACAAAGCTGAAATACAAGATACTGAACTGCTCTAAACTATAAATTCGTCATACCCTTATGAGACATAAGGTTGGGTAGCAACTAATGCATAACAGATTAGTAACAATAATGCCAGCATATTCTAGGTTTTGTAACATTGTAACTCAAATATATTATTCATGTTTGTTTCTGATTTCTGATTATCACAATTTAGGATTGGGTTTCTGGCCATAAATAATCGAATATTCTTGAGCTTCTAGTAGTTCTTTAAGGTTAATTGATAGGAGCTTGATAACTTTTGTTTGTTTCCTTACTCCTCCAGAAGTTCTTCACATCAAATGACGAAAGACAACTAATGGAAGAGATATCCATCCTCATGTGGATCTGATGAAGCTATCCACGGAAAAAAGAACCACCATCTTTAGCCCATTGGGATGAGAAGAATATACTCTATCCACAAGCAATATCTATTAAAGTACTTACGGCCAAATATTCAGCATTGCTCTGACCCAAAAAAAACCAGGAAACAGCCAAATGTAGAACATATTCATAACTCTTACCTTTTTACTACCACAAAACTCCCCAAAATTGTGTTTGCAACAAATCCATAGAAGTGAATGGGAAGATAACAGGTTCTACCAACGACAAACAATTTCATCTAGATCCTCAAGCAAAACTGGAAAGCAAGAACGAGAGCAAATGTGCTTTACTCCTTAGCAAGCACATAACACAACTATCAAGGGATAAACTCTTAAGATGCCTCCTCTTCTCTGACCGACATTGGTGCCAATTTTGTCGAGAGCAAAGGACCAAGTTCACTCTTTCACCTTAGATGGGATTTTAGATTACCATATGGATGATGTCATAGAAAAAGAAGAAGCCTCGTGAAATCAGTTATAAAGGAGAAAATGATTTGCGGGAAACAAGTAACTGAACTTTCAAGAGTCCAAGTTCTGCAGTATGGGAAAGTCGCAAGATTAAAGGACTATCCCTTTTACAACCTTGTATCATTATTTTAAAAATATCATAGTTCATAACTTCAAATAAGAAAGATCTTAACTTCATTTTTACAATATTTACATCCTTCAACATTTTAGTGTGACTGTGATCCTACTTTCCCAGCACATAACACAAATATCATGGGATAAATGCTTACGGGGTCTACTCTTCTGTAAGAACTCATTGGTGTCATTTTCTTGTATAAATATAAATCAAGTAAATGCTTTTACCTTGAAGTGGATTAAAAATTTTTATATGGAGACAATGAGTGGGAGTGGAGTAAATCACATGGGAGAATAACTACTTACTAGAAAAAGTACTGAAACTATAGAAGAATAAATACTTACAAGAAAAATATTGAAACTATATAAAGTCCAAGTACTAATGGTTTGGTAAAGAAGAAAGACAAAAGCATTCTAAGATACACTGACACCCTCCCAGTGAGTAGGTGTCCAACACGTGTTGGAAATTGACACGACATCAACACGTCGCCGACACTTTTAACGATACATTCTTGACATGCTGGAATTTAAAAAAAAAAAAAAAAAACTTACTTTACAAAATAAAAAATTAATATTATTTTAATTAGCATGTCAGGAATGCATTAGGACGGTACTCTTTTGAAAAATTGTGTGTTGGCGTGTTAGTGTTGTGTCTTGGTGACACTCATGCCAGCATAGATCTTCCTAAAAAGCACCATGTCATCTATAAAGCAAAAAAACTATGATTTTAACAATAGTCCATGAGTTCAAATAATAAAGGTCTTTTGGGAGATTTTTCTTACATTTTCATGATATCTTAGTCCTTAAAAACAAACACATACTTCAATGTTAACCTTGTTAAGAACCAACAAGATTATGGCTTCACATAGGGATTCATGTTTATGATATCATACAAATTTGACATTGGAGTGTATTCACCTCTGTGATATTTATCACATGCTTAGTAGTCCACCTATATAAAAGATATCTTATTCTTTAGAGTAAGAGACAAGTGAGAATGTGGCATTATATACACAAGTATTAGCTGAAAAAAATGAACTGTGCTATTTTGATTGGTTCATTCATCCCTATCCCCTTCTAGATATCCTTTATATTAATATTTTATTTTGGCACTAAATCTCCACTCATTGCAGGACTATATTTCCAAATCATGTTATCTTATTTGAAAATTAAGTTATCGTGGATATTATCAAAAAACCTAAAATGATTTCATTCAATTTCCTTCAACCACTTGAAGAACTACGTGATTACCAAAGTTGTACTGAATGCTTTGATTCTCATTGTTCAAGTTTCAACATTTTAATGGATAATATGCATGCAACTTGAGATGAGATTGATCACTCAGGTTCGGGTACATATGCAGTGACAATATAGAGTTTGAGAACAAAATGGGGAACAAAAGTGATTAAATTTGGCTTCTTATATATTAGATGCATTATTACATGTATAACATCATTCACTAATTTCCTAAAACAAAACAAAACAAAAGCATAATCAGCAGTGGGAAAGGATGACAGTTCGACTGTTATAAGATATTAAAATATGATTAAAAAGAGGTTAGTCAGACATGAAACTTACTTTCAACCCTTGAGACACCTGGTAGTGCTACACGAAATATATATTTATCCTCAGATTCACCAACGTCTACAGCTCCTATAGGTGATCCCATCTTTCCCGATGCAGCACTTCCGGACAGTACAATTCCACTTCTGGTAGCAGCTACAATGTTGCTCCACTCTTCATTAGTTGTACAAGAAGGCATAAATACCATAGCAGGGTGGTTAACAATGGGAGGCCTGGAATTAACTCTTGGTGATGGAATGCCATCTATATCTATTGGTGTTGAAGCGGAGCCTGGATGTGGACCAGAGTATGGAACACAATTAAGAGGAGGCACATCAAGTACATGAAACTGAGGGCGTAATGGCCTTGTGCCATTATTTGTACTATTTTGTGTCCAAGATGAGTGAGGAGCTCTGAAAATTCAGTTAAAGGCATGATAAATAAGAATCCATGGGAAAAATATAACGACTTCAAAAGAAACTTCTTAATTTCCAGATAAACATTTATTAATCGATAAATATTATCATATCACTAGTACAAATATGAATAAAGATATTCAACGCAAGCACATAGTGCAATTAGAAGATTAAACATGTGGAGAATGACATTTGAAGCAAAGTTGAATAAACAATTAAGTTTTTTCGTCTCCACGTAACATGGTATTCATATTAGATCATTCACTTAGTAATGAAAGGATTTCATGGAAGTAGGCCTAAGTTTGGATCATGTTTATAAATTGCTTATAAAAATTTAAGCCACTCAAGGGAGCCACAAGTACTATGCACTTAAACACCAATCATTTCAATGTATTTATAATTTAAATCATTTACAAACACTTCACAAACGTGCTCTAAATCTTTTTAAAAATCTGTTGGCTGCCTTTTGAGACTTCAGAAGACCAAAGACCCCACCATTTAAACATGTGATAGAATAATACACAACCGCAACTCTGTTTCCTCGTAATGGAACATGAACTGCATACTAACGTTGAATAGCATTCAATTCAGGAAAAAACTATATCCAGATTATTGTTAGCGCTTTCATTGTCAAAGTTTTTTTTTTGGGGGGAAATTTTTTAACATACGATAAGTCAAGTAGTGTGGTTGATTTTGTGACAACTGAAGAGAGAAGTAAAGCGCAAAGTTTGATTATGTCATATGTACGAGTCATATTCTAAAAAAAGAAAGATCATTTCATACCCATTTTTTTAGCAGCCACTGAGATCATTAAGTAATATCTACGTAGTTGTTTGAGCTGTGATTTTGAGAGTGAAACTCGGTTAAATCTACCTATTGAGAGCTTATAGTAAGCTAAACAAGGCAAAGTAAGTATTCTTAGATGTTTTGATGTTTCAACGGTATGTGAAACAATCTTAGAAGAACAACTTTAGCTGTTGTTTTTTCATTGCCTGATGGTACGATTTGTTTCTAATTGTAAACTCTCAAACGGGTGCTCTGAAGAGTGAATGTAGGATCAGCTAATCTAAACACTGTAAGAGCATGTTTGGGTGGGACTTATTTGGAGCTTACAAAAGGTTAAAGCCATAAGCCTAAGATCACTAACATTTATACGAACACATTTACAACCAAATACATTGACAAACACAAATGACTACACGCAATACATGAACAAACAGGAAATCTACACTTCATTTGTCATAATTCATATTTTCAACGTTTTAACTTTTGACTCCTCCGTCACCACCACACCCCCCCCCCCCCCACAAAAACCAAAAAAAAAAAAAAAAAAAAAAAAAAAAAGTTACTCATAAATGATAAATCAACAAATGAATTATTCTAACAAAAAGCAACAGATGAACTAATAAATGCCAAACAAAAACTAATCAGCATAAAATGTGAGTGAAATCGACCGATGACTAACCTCGGAAAAGGCGAAGAAGACATCGGAGAGCTGCTGAGCAAGAGTCAAAGGTTCAAACTTCAACGAGCAAAGATTTCAGGGTGAGAAGTATAGGAAATTCGACTCATTTCAGCTATACATAGATGTAAGTGATTCACCGATGAATTGCCAAAAGAATGAGAGTGCTGAGTTATATGGGTATGAATGCTCCCGGATGATACAGTATAATATTTTTCTGGTTATCAGGAAAAGTATGATGGAGAAAAATGGGTGTATTCACTTTATAATTACTTTTTGAAATTTAAAAAGTTCATCGATATTTAATTGAGTTTTTTTTAAACTTTTTAAAAGTATTATACTGTATTTAATTACAATTTTATAGATTTTTTTAAGAAATTTCTAAAAGTCAAGGGGTATTCATTCGAGACTTTTATATACTTTTAAAAAGTCTTTAAAAATTACATTATATTAAATTAAAATTTTTTAGAAATCTTTATAAGTTTTGAGGTATTCAAATTTTAATGACTTTTTGAAATTTTTATAAAAGTTTGTGGAGTACTAAATTTTAAGAAGAAAGTAGTCATATAAAATTTAAAAATTTGTCTCTCATTCATTACCAAATTTTGGGAGACTTTCACGTTGCTTTTACTTTTATTTTTCCTTCTGCGAATGTGTATAATTAAAATTTTTTTTTTTATTGATTATATTTATTTTTATTTATCTTTCTCTCTCCCATATTATTTATCTCTATTTTTTATGAAAATTTTTAAATTGGATTTTTGTAACTTTTTTTTTCTTTTTTGCATTCTTTTTTTTTGTGAAAAATGTCTAATATTAAATTATAAAATTTTATGTGAAAAACTTTATAATTAAATTTAAATATATTAATTTTTATTTTTTTAAAAGTATATTATATTAATAATATTGAATATTAAATATATTGTTTATCATATACATATATAATATTGATTATTATTTATTTAATTAATGTCTTAAATTTTTATTCTTTTAAATTTATTATTATTATTATATGGGAAGAAAAAGGGAAGGAAAAGAGGAATTGTGGAATCCAACATCTCGCACCATTACACTAGATCCACGTAAATTTTATTTCAAACCCCGTTTGTTTCCCATTATTTCTTCATTAAAATGAAAAATATGACCGTTATCCATCACATCAAACCACCAAATTTGAATTTCTATCTTTTGTGTGGACCCATAATGACTATATTTTTCATTCTCATTCTTCCAAAAATGAAAAATAAACGGGGCCCAAATGAAAAAATTCAAAAATGTATTTTGAATTCTATAAAAGTCTATAAAAATTTAAAATGAAAGTCCATAGAAGTATATGAAAGATTTCTACTAATTTCATACAAATTTATAAAAGATCTACGAAATTCACGGAAGTCAGCATTTAAAAAAAATCCATCAAAATATTCAAAAATTTCAATTAAATACACACCCTTATATTTATTTGTACATTACTATCCGCTAACAGGTGACTCCAGCAATTTAGGGTTGTACAAAATATTTTTCGAAATAATAAAAAACGAAACTAATAGAGCAAAATGTAGTTCACATAAATTTTATCAATCATTAAATGAAAATTATGATAGGATACTATTCATAATTATTGATCTATATTTGTCGATGATTATCACCCACAATATCGTGTGCTGTCAGCAATTAATGGTATTTCGATAACCATAATCTATCATTAATGACAGCATAGTTTGTAATGTTAGGAAATACTGACGGTAGTTCAATTATTGACGAAGTCATTGATATCGTTGTTCAATCTTTTTACTTTTATAAACTACTAACAACTAACTTTGAAATATCATTTTCTATAATATTATTAGTAATGTATACTATTTTCCAATTATTATTCTATTCCCAACGAGTTCGTCGATATTTGTTTATTATTGATCAACTGAATATGTTACGTTATATTAGCATTTTACTGTCAAAAAAGTCGTTTGTAAAATTAAATTATTTTTCAATCGTTATTTAACTATTACTTTTTTGAACTAATATTAAATTTTTATTAAATTATATTATTTATAGATGAGAATTCTATTTGTGAATTAACTATATCAATGCATTTTTCAAAAATTATAACAGTTGAAAACTTTTTTACTGGTATTAAATCTTAAATTATTATTTTATTTGTATTTATTATCAAAATTAGAATATCTATCTATGGATTACATTTATTAAACTATTTTTAATTATTTGGGTGGGTCCAATGTTAAATGGAAATTTTAGTTGTTGTCTTTTCTTTTGCATTCACACATCCTTCCATAAGTTAACATTCCATCTTTCACTTATTTTAGTTTTGATGAAACTACTGATACGACTGACCAAAGTATGCAGGAAGACTTTTTAAATAGTTTAACTTCAAATGGTGTAACCCCGCACGAACTAATACTAAAAACAAATTGTCCTATCATGTTACTTAAAAACATTAATCCTTCGGAAGGTCTCTGTAATGGAATTAGACTTATTTGTAAAAGTTTTCGAAGAAATATTATTGATGCTAAAATTGTAGTTGGAGATTATAAAGGAAAAAATGTATTTCTTCCTAAGATATCTTTTATTCCACTTCAAAGCGACAAAAATCCTTTCTCCCTTCAAAAGAACACAATTTCCAATTCGTCCATATTTTGCAATGACAATTAATAAATCTTAAGGACAAACACTTGATTTTGTTGGTTAATATCTTCCTAAGCTAGTATTTTCGCACGGCCAATTATATGTTGCTTTGTCTCGAGCCAAAAGTAGCAAATGCATTAAAGTTCTTATCAAACCAACAACAGCCCAAAAATCACGTACGAAATGTACTAAAAATGTTGTTTACGATGAAATTTTAGCAATGGTAAGTACATGACATTATGTTCTAATTTACATTTGTCAATAATCATTACAAAACATATTTTAGTGAAGCGTGAAACTGACTGAAATTTGTATTCTTTTTCTCTATAAAATTTGACCACAATAGAGAACCCTATAAAATACCGCAGGCTTATTATTTGCTCATTCTTTTTGTTCCACTTTATTTTAAAATTGTGCTCCTTTTTAGTCATTACACATGTGACACTTGATAATCCTTCTAATTGCTCCACGGGAAGTTGTTTTGAAACAACGTTAAGAAAATCGATCACACTGAGGATATTTTTGGTAAACATCAGGACAAATATGATCATGAGGTGGTATACTTCTTATGCTGCTACTTATGAATTTCCTGTTTAATTTTTGTACGATTTTGAAGCACTAGATCTAGGACTTCTACATAAGCATACTCGGTATCACTCCTCCAGATTACTAAAACAATCTCACAATGAATATGGTAATCAATTGATAAATTCTTCATTTGTATTGCAATTTGTACTTTATTTTTTCAAATCTGAAATGTGTGAAAATAAGAGAAACTATCAACTTCGTATTATTTATAAGTTATTACTCAGTTTTAACATTTTCTCAGATTTTGTGGCTAATTTTTGCAAGATTTCAGAGTTTGATTTGCATTGGCTTGTTCGATTTCATTGGTTAAATATTCTTTGTTATTTTTATGTTGGAAACTTCAATATATATTAAATGCTTAACGTATAGATTCTGGTTTCCATGGTCATTTTATCGAGTGGAATATTTTTCCTCTTTCGATTTGCACAGGCTGGCCTCTATCTTATTTCGTAACTCATTTTGTACACATAGAGAAAATGCTTGTTGTACATACTTCTGATTTCAATGGGCAATCATTGATTATAAGTTTATCTTTTGAACTTTTGATTTACTAAGGTTTAAGCTCTTTCATTTCTTTTTTCTAGTTTCCTTTTTTTTTCCATTAGTAAATTAATGTTCATTTCCGTTTTTCCAACTTGCCAACTTCTTGCCTCACATAGCATCTTCACAGCTCCTTTCAGTTTCCAATCTTAAATTCCACGAGCCTATCCCATGCAGCTTCTAGGCCCAAAAAACAAAAAAATAAAATAAAATAAAATAAAATCCTACACTTCTTGATAAAATGGGACCCGCACGTAAGAGTAACGCTTAAAAAAAAAGCTGCCGACAGTTATAAAACTCATGTTTTTTGCCAGTAAATATGTTCCAGACATAATCTATATGTATTGCCCATGTATATAATAAAAAAGAACCTACAAAATGTCCCATCTACATATATACATAACCAACAATAACATATTCCACTATCGAAAATAGAAGCTACCGTCCTTAATTCGATCATAAGGTACACCTTATACCACAAACCAGAAAAGCACACTATATGATTCAAGATTAACATTCCACTTAGGTACTCATTTCCAAATCTAAAAAAAAAAAATTCCCTTTCCTTAAATTTATGCCTTATAAAACACACTTTAACTTAATTTTTATACAAGGAACAAAGTTCAAACCATGTTATTTGATAGCTCTATCACAGCTTTCGAAGATACCTTACTACCACACAAGACATACCTCGTCTCAAATGCACAAGTTAAAGAAACAGATACAAATTATAGAGCCCAATTTGGTGACATCCGATGGACAATCAGTGCAAAAACCAACGTTGTTGAAGTCAACGAACAATTGTTAACCTCCTTTCATCAGCTTACAAGTTCATATGATTCGGAGATCTTCAGCCTACATGGATACAAATGCAGAAATCAGTAAGTATTTGCAATCCCATTAATACCTTACACTTCATTGCTTCTATCTCAAACATAAATTACAACCTACACTTATTACTAACCCATATTATTTCTCGTGGGCATCACTGGAATAGCAGTCGACATCTTCCCTAAAAGAGTAATTCAAATTCGTGACAACTAATCAACAGTACAAGATGTTATTCTCATGAACGAACGATAAAACATTTACTTTTGTCACACATTTACTATTGTCAGCCCCAAAATAACTCTTTTATTTATTACATATTAAATATAATTTGAAACTTTACAGGTTTGAAACACGCATGCTTCAGATGTGGGACAATTTCATCACAAATGAATGTAATACCATCCACAACACAATCACCAAAAAACCAATTGTCGTGAGCAACAAATTAAGAGTAACTTCTTTCAATGGTAAATTAACTCCTTGTACACAATCATACTGACATGATTTTAAACCTTACATGTAAAAACTCAATTCACTCTCTATTTAGGTATATCCGTCTCTACAAAAATCAACTCATCAATACTCATTAATCCCCCATTTGAGCAAGTTCTTGAACTAAAGCGTTGGTACATTCTTTCACTTTTCCACTTACATACTTACATCTATTGTAATTATTACTCTTAATTTCCTTATTTACTTCTAACAATTTCATTTTCACATCAACATCAGGTTAAAGGACAACATGAGCACAGTAAATTACATCATGACAAGAAAGGCGTATATCTTCCCCACATCCACCACAATTTCTTGCCCACCAGAAGAAAAGTTAGTCAACATCAAACAACTTCAACAACTCCAACATATGGTACACCAAATCACTATACCTTCTCATTTACATTCTACATCTATCCCCAACACATATTTTTCTTACACATGTTATTATATACATTGCAGAAACGACACTTCTGGACAAGAGAAAATGTCACATTGGCTGAAATAAACCAACCACTATGGGATCCATCATGTGACAATTGCAACAAATCTGCAAGTGGAGCTGTGAACGAAACTTATTTCTGTAGATTCTGCAAGCACAACTATGCTACACCAATTCTAAGGTCAGATTATATTCAAGTCACAAGTACATCATCTATGCGAATAGATGCATTATTCATCATCTAATGATAATCAAATACATCTCAAAACACTAACAATGATTCCACTTGTACTCTAACAGAGCAAGAGTAGTCTTTCAATTGCAGGACTCTACAGGATCAATCACAGCATCAATTATTGGAAAACCAGCTGAAACATTCCTCAAATGCCTAGCAACGAAACCGATGAAACAAGATTCTGAGGTAACTATCTCAAAATTATATTTTCCTGCCTACTAATCTTTTCTTTCCAATAAATATACTATTAACTACTTCTAATGAACATCACAGCAAGAACATATGGAAAGCAGCTACAATACCACCACCAACTGCAAATGAGCACATCATATACATCAAAACTGTAACTATGGAGACAACCACCAACAAGGCACCATATGAAGTCATCTTCATCATTGACTCACACCTCCAAGATGACGACCAGTTACTCACCAACATCATACAACCAGGCACTTCACATGAAGCTCACAACCATGCAAACAAAAAACAAACGCAAGAGTAGTTGTTCAGGACGTAAAAATACATATTTTGTATTTCTTTTGCACGCTTATGTCCACAGTCGAGCAAACCTGATTCACAGTATCTCTATTTGCCATACTGAATTTTGTCTGTTGTCCATATTAACATGTTAGAAACCATGTACCCATGAACGGCATGTAACATCTCTGTGTATGGCACCTAAGAACTCTGTTTTGTACTTCATACTACTTTTGCCAATGTAACTACTTGTGGACAAATATTTTATAATCTAATAATGTAATCATCCTTCTAACCTGATCTTCTTTTCCATTAAGATGCCACATGATAAAATTTCAACATTATTATTTACACTGCAATACCCACTGCATGTGCAACGCACGATAAAGTATTTGTAAATTCTAACCTGATCTTCTATTCCATTAAGATGCCACATGATAAAGTATTTGTAAATTCTTAAACAAATGATATTTTTTTTGTCTGCATGCCATCTGAAAGGATTCCTAATAAAATATTTTTTATGGTCATACGTGGCAGTGCATCATGAACTTAAAACTCAGAACCCCTCACTCTCTCTGCAACGCCACCAGTGGTAATTCACTCTTTTTTCTTCCTTAACTTTGCAATTTTACAAATATTAGTTTGTATTCTGTATCTCATTATCTGGAAATTCTCTCTTGGTAATCTGTATACTCCTGGACTATGATTATTATTTTTTATTTTTTATTATTATTATTATTATATATTTTTTGTAACTGTGGTCATCAGCGAGTTCATTTGTGAACCAGAACAAGTAGTTTACTTTTCTGGGATTTTACGGTGTGTTGTGTGAATTTTGGAGTTTAGGTTATTTCTGATGAATATCACAGGAGATAATATTATTTATTATAAATTTTATATTCAATATATTGTGTGATTTATTTTGTGAACTTGATCAAAATAGGGGCAGGGATTTATTTTGGGAAATTGATCAAAATGGGGGCAGCATTATTAGGCAATTGTGAAATCTTTATGTTTAATTTTGTAGAACTTCCACCGTTCAGGGGCTTTTGCAATTATTTTCTATATTCTTTGTTTCAGTTTCCTAGCACAGATTTTGAATTTTTTTTCCTCACAATAGTTTTTTATTTTTTTAAAATATATTTTACTTACTTTGTGACCTTTTGTTCTTAGTGGTCAAACACTGCACTGAGTCAGTAAAAGATTTTCCATCCATTAATTATTTTGGTCTTATTGCTTGTTATGACAAATTTTACGGGCAAAATATGGAATTAAGCTCCATATAAATCCTTCCTGTTGCTGTTAGTGTAGAAATGGATAGATTTAATATCAGTAATTCCCTTGTGTGTGTGTGTGTGTGTGTGTGTGTGTGTGTGTGTCAAAGCAAATACCTTCTAAGTTTCCGCATGTAAAGTAGCTTCATCAGGTGACATGCAGTCTTCTAGTGCTGATTTTTCCATTTTCCTTATTTTTTGGGTGACCAGGGTGTCTGGGTCGGAGAAGTGAGTCAAGTAACAGAAATAAGGGGTTGAGAGATTAGAGTAAATCCTAACTGAGAGGAAGATCAGTGTGATTTGATCTATATGAAAGGATTCTACCAACGATAGTTCAAATATTTCTCGATTTATTGAACCAAAGTATTTTGATGCAGATAGACTGCCTACATTTATCTGAATAAGCAAAAAAAAAAAAAAAAAAAAAATTATCTTTCATATTATAGATATTCAGATACGCAACACGAAGGGTGTAGAGCTCACTAGGGGTAATAGATCCAGTCGGCAGAATTTAGTCCTTTGTGGCCATGTTATGCTAACTTTTTTGTTTTTGTGGCCATGTTATGCTAACTTCTCTCTGTCTCTCTCTCTCTCTCTTTTTGTTTAATTAGAATTCCATCTTCAATATCCTTGAATTCTTCTAACTTTTCCATACTCACTTCAATCCTATTTGTGCATGCTTAAATTGGCAAATATAATAAACTACCGATTCCCTCACTTTGGCGATTTATTTCACCATCTTTGGTCACTGTTTGCCACTTCAGCATATGGAATACCATTCTTGGTATGCCTCTATATTCTTTTACCTACTACTGGTTCCCTCGCTTTGGTCACTGTAACTTCATCTTCAGATGCTCAATTACAAAGTAAAAGAGAAGATGACAACGATTAAATATGCAAACCCTGTTACTTATTGTTCCTTCTGGTGGAGTTTGAATTTCTTATTTTCTTGTTTGGTTTTTCGTACTATTAGAATCATGATGAGCTCTTAATATGGAGTGTTAGGAGCAAAAACTTGTATGTAATTTTCTTCCAATTGATATATTATATTGTAGTAGAAGTCTGACTTCAGGAAAATTTGAACAAGCTATTTGAATACATGAATATACAAATTTTGGCCAAGTGGTCTAGGTATCTGCACACATGAATGTGGTTTAGTTCGAGTTTCAATGTTTCATGATACCCCATTTTGTGGCCCTTTCAACCTCAAAAATTTATGTGATCTGATAATGGTTTGTTTCTCAGTGTATAATGAATTAGAAGTTAATACTTTGATTGCTGTAGTAATTTGATTTTGTCATCTTTCACTTGAGGACCAAGACGCTTGAGGAGTATATGTTGGACTTTTTTACTCCTACGTACCCTCCCCCATAATTCAACTTTGGTAGAGATTAAACCCCAATTCTTATTACGAGAGCAATAACATGCAAAATGAAATCAGAAACAGGCCAAACAGACACAGATTTCGACTGTGATGTATGTTAATATGCTTTCATGTGATTTTTCTTGCTTAAAACCGTGCTGCATGACACTCGGATCCGTTGAACTTGGCAATCAGAAAAACAAAAACTCACCAGATAATCACTCGTTGCAGTGTAATCAGAAACAAATAGATACATTCTCATAGTTCTGCAAGATCGAGAAATGGAGAATGTTTACAGTGAACTTCTGACGGACGATCAGTATTTTCTCCTGTACCTAATCATGGGAACCTACTTCGCTCCTGCTCTCAAGGAAGAAAGGCCCCACAAGTCCGCGTTACAAAGACATGCCGAAGGCCTTCGGCCCTACACTGTGGATGAATTGGCTGGTTCGGACATAGAAACAGCGGTGGTTGCAAGTGTATACTACTATGTACTTAGAAAGGCAGAACCATCTGTTGTTGTGAGACTACCTTTGTTGCTTCGGTTTGTTCACGGAGATCTTCCAACTCCAATGCTAGGTTCTGCGGCACGTTGCTCACAGTTCGATTATCTCTTTCCTCCTCAGTTTCATCGGCTATTGCATCATAAAGTCAGGGGTGGAACTATTGAAAACATTGTTTTCGTTGATAACCCCATAATTTATTACATTGAGCAAGAGGATATTGAACGGTTCAAGAGGCTCACTCGGCTTGAAGATTTTCTTCTTGATAAAGATCATGCAATATCTCACATATGGGTTTCTGACAAGGTTTTATACGATATTACGGTGCAGGAGGAGAAGACTGAAGATATATTGGAGCATAACAATGTATTGGGCAGTGCTCTGCATAATGCTACTCCGACTTTGGACAGTTTCAGAATTCCATCATCTACAAACACTACGCCTGTTGATGATCTTGGGCTGGGGATGATGTTCCTTCCTTCTCGTCCTTCAAGGGAAGAGTGGAGTAACCTTGTTTCTACCATTAAAAGTGGTTTTGCATTGACTGGAAGTGCAGCAAAAGGACAAATAGGACCAGTTTTGGGTCTCATGGATATTGGGGAGTCGGAGGATTCCTATCTTTTTCGCGTATCCCTTCCCGGAGTGAGAAGAGATGAAAGTAAGTGTATTTTTCTGGATCAAAAAATTTGACCACGTATAGCATGCATTACAGGTTCTATTTGTTTGGTTTTTCGAAGGAATTACTGATTTTATCATCCCTTCCCAGAGGGGATAGAAGCAAGCAATCCACACAGTCATGCAAACTGAAATCATTTATCACTATATTTGTCTTGACATCCAAAATGGGTTACCCGTTTTTGCAATAAAAATATTCAACTTTTCCACATTACATTTGCATTTCGACTCTGCATGTCCTGTTTGCTTTTTCCTTCTTCCTTGCACTGAGAGGATCTTGTTTTTTATTGTTTCCCTTGCATCGTATAACCTTGCGATTGCAGAAGATTTTAGTTGTGAAGTTGAAAGTGACGGCAGGGTATTAATCAAAGGAGTGACATCAATGGGTGAAAAAACAGTTGAAAAATACTCCCAGGTATTTGAGATGCAATCTCAGAATCTGTGTCCACCAGGGCCTTTCTCCCTCTCGTTTAAGCTGCCAGGTCCTGTTGATCCTCAGCAATTTCTTGGAACCTTTGCAACCGATGCTATTTTCGAGGGAATAGCATGGAAAGCACGGAGGAACAGAATTTAGCATGTCAAGTCGATGCTTTGCTGCATTATCTGTGCTTTCCTATCCTTTTTAGCATCAGACACTATATTGCAGCACACGGTACATGGCTAAACAGAATCTGTGCTCTTGTATCCTTTGTTTGTAATGTGGTACACCTAGTACTTGTCTAACTGCTGTTTTTTAGGTAGGCTTTATCTCCTAATGTTTTCCTTTCCATGACGCTGGTCATTACTGTTGATGTTGATTTCCTAATGTTCTGCAGTGGAAAATAGTAAAAAGGTTGTAGTGTAGCCAAGACTATCTTGTAACCTAATTGGTGTGTGATGTTTTTTCAATCTTTTCTACTAAGTAATCTAATATCATGCAGTCTAAGGATGGACCACTAATCCAAATATAGTTATCAATGAACTTGAAAGGTTTAACTTTTTTAGTATAATCGATATTTTCAAGAAATTTTAAAATAAACATCCTAAAGCAACTTTCTATTGGGCATGTTGGAGTGTGCTCTGTGAAGAAAATTTTGTACTTGTGATAGTTGTGTTTTGTAAAGGAAAAATTAGGTTGGGCTTCTCAACCCATTAAATCTCGCGGTTTTTGGGCCGTAAACTTCGTGAGGTTATGTGAATCTAAGTTTTTACTTGATGAAAACTATTGATATGAATGTTAAAATCGTATGCGACTTTCATGTGATTTGAAAGTACAAATTCAAATGCTAAAAGTTTCGAGTCAAATCAAGAAAAATTTGAAAGGGGCTGTCAAGTTGGTGCCAATTTGTCAAATGTTTAAGAAATAAGGAAGGGTATCCTGGATCCGGCAATGTTGTTGACAACCTTAACCCCTTCAAAATTATAAAAATTGTATTTTGATGTACGGTAAGAGGCACTTTTATCATTCTATATTACGACCAAATTGTATCAACAATGTCATAAACCAGCCCTAAAATAAAAATTCATATCCACATAGACCTACAATCCGACCAAATGGAGACAAAAATCATCGAGAATCATACCTCATATTATCACTAAGACTTCGATTTTGTTGGAGCTTCATTTTTTGAGAGAATAAATTTTATAATAGTGATTTTTTGAAAAATGTATGGTAAAAAAAAAGGAAAATTTTTTGAATTTACGTGTAAAATTATTTTATTAAAAGAATATATGATTGAAAATGAATTTTTTAAAAAAAAAAATTTAAAATAGTAGAGCTCAAGCATTGGCTATATAATACAAGGTGTTCGACATAATCAAATTAACTTTAAAAATTGAAGTAAATTATCTAAGAATATGGCGCAGAGGTTGAGCCAAGATTTAACCAATTCATGAACACAGATGAGGCTAATCCGTAAAACCGATCCGCTGCTTCGAATTCATCATAAAGTTGCATGTAGGTCATCCCCATGCGTGAAAATTCATCCCCTGTCCGAAACTTTATACAGAGAATTTCGCAATGATTAGGCTCACACCCATGAAAACGACGTAAAGGCAAACAAGGCAGAATCCCCAGAACCGTGGAACTCGGAATCTGTGCCAAGTTACGACCAACAAGGATCCCATCAAGCTCAAAACCAAGAAGACGAATGCGACCACTATACTCACGTGGAAACGGAGCTCATAAGCTTCAGGAGAAACATTAGCCGTCTGTATCACCAAAGCTGTTCCGAGTCCAAAAAGCATGTTGAACATAGGCCCTGCAAAGCACCCGGCCAAGGCCATGGCCGGCTGCCCAGCCTTAGCGACCGCCACATCAGCAACAAGATCCCCGACTGAATTACCCCAAGCAAGCACTGTCAATCCAAGAAGTGCCGGTGACAACTCCAAAAGAACTCCAAGAGCTACAAGGCAATTTAGAAGTTCCCCGGCCGCAAAGGAAATCCAGAACACGCTCATGACAAATGCCACAACCACTACAGGAATTTGCTCAGTTTTAGGGGGCTCTTTTTCGACCATGTAATGAAGAATTGCTAAAGAGCCGCTTCCACAGAGTACCACCAACCAAAGAGGAAAATGACTGTTGGGAAAAAGAAAAATAATTGGATGATCTAGAGGCATGAATGATTTGCAAGAGTATAAAAGGGCAAGAGGACACAGAGCAATGTTGGCTGATTGATAGAATCTGCTCCATTCTGGCGGTGAAATTTGCGGGATTGTGAGTTTTAAAAGTACTGAGACTGGAACTTCCCAAGCTTTTGGAATCTGTGGAAAATAAAGAAAATTGCGTTAAACTACAATATTTGCAGATATAAAATAACTACATCAGCTGTATATAAAATATCAGCAGCTGATAAATGATAGTATGATACTTAAAAATCTTCAAAGAACGACAAAATTACTGATTTGTGATGAGGACATCCTTATAGTTGGACTTTTATTATTGTTCCAGTATTTTAGTTGGACTTTTATTATTGTTTCAGTTGGACTTTTATTTAAGTTTACGTATTTTAATTAGGACTTAAATAATGGGCTTGGCCCTATATTTCTAGGTTTTCATTATTTAAACCTATCATTGGTTTGTAATTCGGCAGTTGATGAATTTGATTGAATAATAAAGTGGCCGTAGCCGTTTTTTCCTCTCTTCTTCCCTCTCTGTCTTCCCTCTCGGCTCTCCCCTTCTCCTCCCCCTTTCTCCTTATTTATTATTTATTATTCGTACTACACCAAATTGGTATCAGAGCGAACTTGGGAAAATATTTAGGTGTTCGCTGCGAGGCTCACAGTTCGTTTCAGCCGAATTCAGTTTCACACCTCCACCGTTTCTGCATATGTTCCCGTCCACTGCACTTCACAACAAAGACACACCAAAACTGCCACAAACCAAATAACCTGCCGTGACCACCACTGCCTTCTGCAAACTGCAAATCCCCAGCAACCATCTGCAGCAATTCGCCAACGAACTCCCTCACACCTCGAACCGTCATCCTCAGACAAGGAAAAGATAAAAATTTCAGCCAACATACCAGGCCCGATAGGCTATCGTTTGCCAAATCACAGTCGCCGGTTTCTTGAATCCAAGCCGTCGACGTCAACACCACCCGTAGGCTGCTTCGAACAGACCTTCCGGCGCCTTAGCTTCTAACAGGAAACTGCAAATTGCCTCCGTTCTCGGCCGCGGCAGTCGAGTGCGTGACCCAAGGCTCGCCGCCAGTAGATCGGCGCCCCACAGTTTGACACTCTCCTTCGAGTTTACGCATCCCAGCCGCCGATTACCATTGCAGTCGGGTGTGGGTTATGATTTATGGTTAGGGGTTAATTGGCTTAAGAATTACGTGGGTTGGGTTATGGGTTATTAGTTGGGTTTGGGTTAATTGGTTTAATAATTAAGTGGGTTGGTTTATTAGTTAACAATTAGGCTTGGGCTAAATTTCAATTGGGCTGATTTATTTGTATCAATTGGGTTTGGGCTTAATTTCAATTGGGTTGGATTATTTGTATTGCTTAGGCTTGGACTTGTTTAAGGTTTTAACTGTGATTTAGGCCCAAATTTGTGAAATGGGCTCATTTATTATTTTGTTATTCTGATTTTGTATTATTATTAAAAAAAAAAAAAAAAAAAAAGTATCGTGAATTTTAATTTTCTGACATCATTTACAGGTTCATTTTAAGTGACTGTTCAGTACCGCACCTCGACGAGCACGGAATTCCCTATCTTGGCATCTCAGGGCTTAGTAGTTCAGAACGTGGAGACATTCGACGCTGGGACGACTCAAACCAACAGTACTCAGGGAGTTCCTGATCCTATTTATTTTTAGTTGACGCTATTTCTTTATTTTAGAATTGCATCAATTAATTCGTTGTGTGCTGGCCCTTTGATAATACTGCCTTAAACCTATTCGATTATATTTCACGAACTAAATTCCATTACTCAATTGTTTACCCCACGTGACTAGACCTAGTATTTGGACATTTGCTTTTCTATTTTATTAGCATTAGTAGTATTAGCTTGCGATCGAGCCATAAGTAACCCCAAACTTTAAATTGACAAAATAAATAAATGAATAAATAATAATACTAATAATTTCAATAACTAATTCTTCGATTGGCACTAGTTGATTGTTGATTATTGATCTCAGTAGTGCACTTTACGTAGTCGTGTTACCGTGTATGCAATTGCGTAGTGGTCGCGTTACTGCCTCTAGCTCTAGTAACCTTACCATGGACCCCGCCCAAATTGAGGCTCTCACCAGACAGCTTGCACAATTACAAAATCAACTAACAGCTGTCCAAACTGAGGTAGCCGCTACTCGTGAAGAGAATAGAGCCCTAACCGCTAGGTTGAATACTCTTGACCCAATCCCATATTCGACCGAGGCTGAGAACTCTGAGGCTTCCATTAATAGGCCTCATCGTCGCCCACAAGGTGGTCGACACCACGCCCGACATGGTCGTAGGGAAGGGAATCAGGCTCGGAAACGAGAGCGGGGATATTACCGTCATGGTACACAATCTCCCCCTCGCCACGAGGAGCGCCTCTTTCGAAATATTAAGTTGGATGCCCCTACGTTTGACGGTTGTCTAGATCCTAGTGCGTTCAATCAATGGGTTAGAGATATGGATCGCCTCTTTGCATGGTATGGGGTCCCGAAAGATCGGAGGGTACAATTTGCCAGTTTGAAGTTAACTGGCACTGCTCAGCTCTTTTGGGAGAGTGTTGAGGACCACCTTGAAAGGCGTCATGCTCCCCCTGTTGGGAGTTGGGATGAAATGAAGCGTCGCCTTCAAGAAAAATATTTACCACAATCTTATAGGGGTAACTTGCTGGATCAATGGAACGCACTTACACAAGGCAATCGACCTGTGACCGAATATGTTGCTCAGTTTGATGAGTTTCGAATGAAATGTCAGGTTGTTGAGGATGAAGTTATGACTTTGAGTAGGTTTAGGCAAGGTTTAAGAGACAAACTTAGGCGCGAGCTTGTCCTTAGGGGTGTCACCACTCTCGACCACGCTTACTCTTTCGTTCGGGATTATGAATTAGTGACTAGGACACCGTATAGAAATCGTAGTGACTCCCGCACTACAACCTCATCCCCTAAGTCTATTCTAGGTCCTCCTCCCTCTAATACTACCCCTGCATCGGATAGCAAAGGTAGAGGTTCTGAGGTTTCAAGGACATCCTCCCGTTTGCAATGCTTCAACTGTAAGGGTTTTGGTCACATTGCTTCTAAGTGCCCTAGCCGAGCCCTAGTTCTGGACGAACGTGAGGATATAGTCGTCGAACCACTAGAGGATCAGGTTTATGAGCCTAAGTTAGAAGAGTTTGAAGACTTGGAGGACAGTGAGGATACCTTCTTAGGTTGTATTCAGACTAGTCCCATTATCCCACATACACCCAGAGTCGGTGTCGTCCGTTGCACCCTCACCCA